AGCGTAGGCAGCAGAGTCAAGATGCAAACTCTGTCTGGGTCCCAGGTCAGAACCCTGAGTGCCGGGAGCCAGTCCATCCTTGCTGTTTCAAGGGACCTGGCATATATGGCATACTGTTCTTAATATGTTTGCTCACCTTCTTGGCACTATGTGTTTTAACCAAGGTCACCTCTCTGAGAAAGGTTGTTTCCCCAGGTAGGGATTGTCCCCTGAAGTTAGGGAGGGAATAAAACCCCTTAACTAAGTGCCAGGCGGGTAATTAATCACTTTAAATACGAACAATCATGCTTAAGCTACATAATCTTTACTCCCTGGAATGGAGATAAGAAACGCCCTAACCTTTGGAATAGAGATTGATAGGATTGGAATCAACTGGTATAAATACAGATGTAACAAGACAACAGGACACAGAACCTACACACAGAACCTAGAGACAGAAGAACTTTGCTGGAGAGAACATGGCAAAAGATCCTGGACAGAAACTGGAGACAGAACCTAAAGACAGAACCTAGCGAGAGAACATGGACACAGAACCTGGCTGGAGATCCTGACCAGAACTTCGCTGGAGATCCTGGCTAGGCTGCTGACCAACTGAACGCTGTCTCCGTGTCATTCCTTCTTCGCCGACTCCGTCCACACCTTTGGGGACCCCTGGACCTGCTGGGGTTGGACCGTTCTCCAGCCAGGTTCTCCAGGTTCTCCAGCCAGGTTCTGTAGCCATGTCCCCTCGCTAGGTTCTCCAGCCAGGTTCTGTAGCCATGTTCTAGTCAGGTTCTCTTGCCATGTTCTATCAAGGTTCTGTAGCCAGGTTCTGTCTCTGGGTTCTTCAGCCAGGTTCTCTCGCTAGGTTCTGTCTCTAGGTTCTGTTGCCAGTTTCTGTCCAGGATCTTTTGCCATGTTCTCTCGCTAGGTTCTGTCTCTAGGTTCTGTCTCCAGTTTTTGTCCAGGATCTTTTGCCATGTTCTCTCCAGCGAAGTTCTTCTGTCTCTAGGTTCTGTGTGTAGGTTCTGTGTCCTGTTGTCTTGTTACATCTGTATTTATACCAGTTGATTCCAATCCTATCAATCTCTATTCCAAAGGTTAGGGCGTTTCTTATCTCCATTCCAGGGAGTAAAGATTATGTAGCTTAAGCATGATTGTTCGTATTTAAAGTGATTAATTACCCGCCTGGCACTTAGTTAAGGGGTTTTATTCCCTCCCTAACTTCAGGGGACAATCCCTACCTGGGGAAACAACCTTTCTCAGAGAGGTGACCTTGGTTAAAACACATAGTGCCAAGAAGGTGAGCAAACATATTAAGAACAGTATGCCATATATGCCAGGTCCCTTGAAACAGCAAGGATGGACCATCTCCCGGCACCTGAGCCCCGTCCTGTCCACTCCCCACTGTCCATCCCTCCTGTGTCCAGATGGGGGGGTTACTGTCTAGACTTGACAGGTACTTCCGTGGCTCCTGTGTTTGTCACTTATCTTTCCCACTACAAGGCCAGGCCCACCAGGGCAGGGACTTGGCTTTGTTCACTGTCATATCTCAGTAACTACAACTGTGCCTGGCACAGAGCAGGTGCCATATGACCATTTGTTGAGTGAATTAGTGAAAAAAATGAAAGAATTCACTAGTGAAGAACCAAAGAACGTGGCCTGGGGCTCATGGAGGTAAAGAGTCAGCCCTTCAAGGTCACAGGGCTGAGTAGGACCTGGGCCAGATCCCCCACTCCCAGCAAGCCCCGCCTCTCCCAGATACAACGGCCTGTTTGTCAACACCTGTCACCCGAGACCCAGGAAGAAATCAGTCTGGTGCAGGGAAGGGTCAGGACGAAAGTGAAGATGGCTCCATCGTTTCTGGCTGGACTTCTGCCTGCAGTGTGTTCGTGCCTCAGTTTCTCAATGGAAGAGGAGCCCGTCACCTGCTCACATGAGGTGAAAAAGGATTCTGGGAACAAGCAGGGCTGGTCCTGCCTGCCTCTTTGCTCCCTCAGCAGGGGCTGGGCCGACCTGCAGTGCCTGAGGTGCAGCCAGTCACACCTGTGCTTGGAGGAGAATGGACTGTTTTGTGAGAAGGTCTGTCCAACAGTGCCACAGGGTCAGAGCTGGGAGGCCCGTTTTTCTGACACCATCACTACAGACTGGATGGGAGACCAGAGACCCAGAGAAGAGGAGTCTGAACCCGGGTGTTGCTCAGCTCAGGGCTGTCTCCTCCCTAAGCCCAGGTGACTGACACCAGGGGAGGTTCTGTCTTCTCCACCTGGGTGTCTGCTCCCATTACTGTGTTCCGGCCATAGGAAGCCAAGTTTCTACATGGATGAGATTGCCAGGCAGGTCAGGCAGGGCCGCCAGGTCTGGCCACAGAGGTCTAGGAGAGGCCTATGGCCACTGGGTCCCACAAACTGCCACTGATGGTCAGGGACCTGGCCGGCACCAGGCCTGGCTTCCCAGGAGCCAGATGAGGCCGATAGGAGAGGAGGAGCAGGAGGCAGCAGGTGTGGGAGCCGGGGCGTGGGAGCTGATAGCACAGCGACTCTGCTATTAGACTCCATGTGGCTCAGGGGCCTGGGGCCTGGGCCTCCAAACAAGAAAAGAGTCCTGCTAGGTATCTAATCCCCACATCAGTCTAGGTAATTACCAGTTGAAACCACTCTCACTGAGAGTTCTACTAGTGCAATTAGTATGTCAGAATAAAGAAGTCACTGACAGCCGGCTGGGCCCGCCCACAGCTGGGCTTCCACTGAACAAGGACCAGGTTGTTGGTCCCACCGGCCTTAGATCTTATGAAACACACAGAGGTGGTGGAGGAAGAAGCTGGGGTTTGGAATCCTCAGCCTAGATGATGACATGGACATGCTGTGTGGCCTGGGCTGGCCATTCAACCTCTCTGAGCCCATGAAATGAGGCTGGTAACACAGCTTCGCATGGCGCTGCATGGATGAAACAAGGAGTTCTAGAGCTATGGACGTTCAAATGCTAGTTTTTATCCTAAAAATTGGTGGTAATGCCTTTGGCTGGCTTTTAAAATCTGTTTCTGGGTTTCACATGCGTATAAGACACATGGGACTTTCCTGTCACATCTGAACCAGGGCTGGGAAGTAGCTGGGAGGGACCAGAGTCAGTGATGAGGCCCAGATTCATCCTCAAAGAGGAGCTGACTTTCTGCTCCTCCCAAGTATCAACCAATCACACCACGACTCTGAGGATGCTCTGATCACTAGGGGCCCCTTTTATAAGGAGCCCTCAGAGAGGGGAGGGACTTGCCTAAGGTCACACAGCAGAGTCAGAGGGGGCCAGGTCTTCCTGAGCTCAGGGCCCTGCTTGATCCACAGCAGCAGCTCCCATTAGGGCTGTGCACGCCTTGACCCAGGGGCCGCTGGTTGAAGCAGGACATGGGCTGGGCGCTGACTCACTCTAGGAGATGGCTCCCTTGGGGCATTTTCCCCGTGACTCCATCCACAGCTCTTCTTGGTCCCGAGCCCTGGGTCAGCTTGTCCCCAGTACAGAGCTCCAGCCTCAGTTCCACATACTCTCTGTCCCTCGTCCCCACCATGCCCTCTAACCAGGGAGGCAGCATCCAGAACCCAGTGACCCAAGTCCTGTGCCTGGCACTGGGCTCTCTGCAGAAGTTAACAGCTGCCTCCTACTACTCATTGCCTCACCTCAGCCCACCATCAGCCCTCCTTGGCTGTGCCCTCTTCCTGCCCTCCTGCAGGAAGCAAGTGGCTGAGGACCTCACAGTTCCTGCTGCTGCTCCATCCCCTGGTTCCTCTGCCTGGGCCACTCTGAAATCTCCCTCCACCCTGAGAGCCTGGTGCCCCGACAGCAGACATGTCCTTAAGGACCAGAAGTAGAGCCAAGCAACCTGGGCCTGCCCTGGCTGGGCCGCCGAGAGGCCCTGCTATCCTGGCTGTGACAATGCCTCTCCCCGCCTCACTGTCCTCATCTGGGATGAATGTCATGGCTGGTAACTGGGCTCTTGGGAGGACTGGGAGAGGCTGTGGGTGGAGGGAGGCTGGTGGCCTTGGCAAGGTCCTCTCCCTGCTCTCAGACCCTCAGCTCTCCTCACCTCCCAACCTCGAGCCAAGTTGCAGTTCTTGGGTCCCCAGGTCCAGTCTGGTGTCTTTCTGAGCCCAGGTCCCTGCCCATCACTGGCCACAGCCAGGAGGCAGAGGGGACGGGGGACATGATTGAACATTAAGGAGAGTTTAGTAATGGAAAAGGTATTTCTGAGAACTTTAAGGGTAAATGGCTCCAGATGTGGCTGCAGAGGGGAAAGCTGGGCTTTGCCTGGGAGAACAATGAGGTCCAAGCTGCCCATCGGGCCATTGTACAGGCCTGGACACACTGCATGTGAAGCGGGTCCCAGGCTCTGGGCGTGGTGACAGGACACAGACTGCCCCACTGAACTGAGGCTGCACCTTCCCACCTGGTTCTGACAGCCACACCCCCGCCTACAGGCTGCTGGGAGGCTGCTGTGGACTCAGGACACTGGGTGCTCCCTCGGCTCTGGTCATTTTGGCGATGTGACGGGTGCTCTACAATGAACTTTGTCCCTTTCCTCCTACTGCCCTGATCACAGGACAGCATGGCAGCCTGTTTACTCATCGTCTCCCAGGACTGGACTGTCTTCCCGGCACTGCCCAGGTCCACCTGACGGCACATGATTCCTCCCTTTGGGTGTGTTTGGGGGCGGATGACTGTACTCGCCCTGGGACTCGAATTCCTGCGTCTGCCCCGCCCCACCCACAGCTCACGGACCCCCGACCCGTAGACCTGGCCCCGCTGACCCGGGCAGCCCCAACTCCCCTGCGGGGCCCTTGTCCACCACACGGTCACTCCTGGCTCACCGCCGGAGCACCCACTGTCCGAGGCTGGGCACTGCCCCCTGCAGCCCGTGCTCCTGCCGAGGGGCCACCCTGGGGGGCCCGGACCCGCTGGCTTCCCACGCGCGCATCCTCGCGGAGGTCCCGGGGCCCCGCGGATCACCGCTGCCCACGCGGCCCCGCACTCACCCATGTTGACGAAGCTCATGACCAGGTCGGCGCGGCCCAGGCGCCGCTCGCGAGGGCCCCCGTCCTCGTCGTCGTCGCCGGCCATGGCGTGGTAGAGGTCCAGCATGAAGAGCGGCGCGGACGCGGGCAGCCGGGCGGCGGCGGGCGGTGCGCGGGGCCGGGGGCGCCCGGGCAGCCCGAGCACCGCCAGGATCTCGCGCTGCAGGTCGCGGCGCTCGCGGGGGCCCAGGCGGCGGGGCGGGCCGCCGGTTAGGGGGCGCGGGCCGGGGCCGCCGCCGCTCAGCGCGCACAGCGCCAGCCCCAGGAGCCACAGCGGCCCGGGGCGCGCGGCCATGGCGGGCGGGACGCCGCGCTCACCCGACGCGCATCCGCTTCGTCGCGGCCCGGGGCTGAGGCTCCCCCGACGGCGCGCGGCCGGCCGCGCTGGGGCTGCGGGACAGGACTGGCGGGAGGTGCCCGCGGCGCAGCGCCGTCCCCAGAGAACCTGCGGGCACCTGTCGCGGCTCTGGGCCGGTGGCGCGGACGCCAACACCTGCGGCAGCAGCCACTCGGGGACTGCGGGCCGCCGGCTAATGTGTCTGCCGCCGCCGTGCCCTGCAGCCGGGCCGCCGACGAAGCCGCGCAGTCCAGGCGCTCGGGGAGGTGCGGACCCACGAGCTCCGCTCAGCACAACCCGCGGGTTCTGCCGCGCTCCCCGCGGCTGCCAGGTCCAGCGCCCGGCCTTCGGGCCCCGCCCCCTCCGGGCCTGGCCAATGGGAGCGCGGGGCGGGGGCGGGGCCAAGGCCCAGAGCCCACCTTCGCGGTGAGAGCTCGGAGTCGTAATTGATGTTGTGGGCGGTGCGCCGGGGAGACGCGACCCGGTGGGTGGTGGGCAGGTCCGACCAGGGAAACACAGCTCAGCTGTCGGGGTCGGCAGGGTCGTCCCGGGCTGCCCTCGCAGCCGCTGGCCACGCCATCGGGCGGTTCGGGGCCGCTGTCCGAGGGCTCCAGGGTAGCGGCGGGTCAGGAGAAACCGAGAACCTGCGCTCCCGCAGGGCGTGTCCTTGCGCGCCCTCCCGCGGGCGGGAATCCCGGGTCTGGGTCTGGCCAGCGAGGGACCTGGCAGCCCCGCCTTGGTGCGCCGTGCAGCCCCAGAACCCGAAAAGAGGCCTCAATCCCGTCTGGAAGGGCCCCGTGAGTGCCAGCCAGGCCCGCAGAGTGGGCGCCTGCTTCCGCCAGCACAGCTGGGCCCAGGATCCCCGCCACCACAGCTCCTGGCCGGCCTCCCGGCGCCTTTCCGCTGTCCCCTTCCATAAATTCCTGGGGGCCTTTCCCTCCTTGATGACAGCTCAGTCTCTGCTGCCAGTGCGCCCACCCACCTGGCTCCCGCGTGCTCCAGCCCAGAAGGGCCGCCTTCGCTGGTCCAGCGGCTGCGCGGTCACCACCAGCTGTGCCCTCTGAAGATCCTGTGGTGATACAACCAGGAGAAGCGCACCTGCCTCCACCCTGCGGAGGCGCTCTGGGGCCTCCCTCGGCGCCAGGGAACAGCCTTTGCGCATCTTAACTGGGAAGGCCCTCCGCGTCTTCCACCCTCGGCAACACTGGGCATTATTGTTAAGTATATAATAAAGTAAACCTGCCAACATGCAGGCAACGCGGCTCTCTGCTGCTGTAATGTGCACGTGGGGCCTTGCTGACGGCTCTCTCCTTGAAACCCTCCCTCCCTTGGCTCCCAGGACACCGCTCGCCGGCTTCTCTTCCTCCCCCCTCCTGCCCACTTCTTCGGCGCTGACAGCCCTTGGGCTCTGTCCACTGTCCTGTCCTCCCTCTTAGACTTTCATGGCGATGAGCGCATCCACCTGAGACCTCAGTGCCATTAGAGGTCGTGCCTGACGCCCAAATACATCCCCGCACAGAGCCACTCCTGGAGGTTAGACGTTACAGCCAGTCGCTGGTTAGACACGACCAGAGCCAGAAACCTGGAGCCGCTGCAGTTTGTCTGGTGGCAGTTTGTCTGCTGACTCTACATCGAATGCTTCTAAATCCTGAGCCTTCCCACGCCCTCCTACACCACGTGGTTCACGGAGCATCTTCTCCACCCGGGAGGGCCGTGACAGGCTTCCAACTGGCCTCCTTGGTTCTCATCTTATTCCCCACCTCTCCCTCCCTCCTCATTCCCTAGAATGTATTTCCCAATAAAAATCTGATGTCCATGGTCTTTCACTGCTAACAGCAGTTTCCCAAACGGGTTTTTGAGGGGTTTCCTACAAAAGGGGGTTTGGTAAATACTGTTTGCTCGTTTTCCCCAGGACAGCCTAACGTCACCAACATTTTTTAAGCTATGAGGAGTCCTGCAGTAAAGAAACCTGCTTAGCTTGAACTCGGTGTCTTCCAAATGCATTTGACTATGACTTTGGGGGTTTTTGAAGATCACATCTTGGGGACCAGGAGGCACTATGGGATCAAGCACCCAGTACTCAGTGGTCTGACATCTGCCAGCTGGTCCTTGCTGCTGACCCCTGTTTACAATCTTTTTGTTTTGTTTTAATAATTCTTTATTGTTGAAAGTATTACATGTGTCCCCTTCCCCCCTTGACCCCCTCCAAGCCCCACCCGCCTCCTGCCTCCTGCCCCCCCCCTTCTCCACTCTATTGTCTGTGTCCAGGGGCCAGGCATATATGAATACAAGGTCTTTGGTTGATGACCTCTCCCCCCTTCCCTCCGAGATCCCGCACTCTGTTCCATGCTTCCATGTCTCTGGATCCATTCCGTTCATCAGTTTATTTTGTTACTTAGATTCCACATGTAAGTGAGATCATGTGATTGTCTTTCTCTAACTGACTGATTTCAGAGTGCTAATATTTTCTTTGTGATTTATGTATTTATTTCACTTTATGGCCGTGTGTGTTTTCATTTTCTCCCATCCACACATCCTGTTCATGATGATATAAGCCCTCATTGATAACTTTAGCAAGTTCGGATGTAATTTTTGCCTGAGACATGTGATTGCTTGTTCAATCTTCTCCAGAATGTTTTCTCACAAAAGGTGGTGTCTGAGTTACAATCAAAATCTTGTTTAAATCCTGGTCATCGATTTCATAATCTGAATCATTATCAGCCCAATCAATAAATGTGGTTTTTTTTCTTCTTCTATTTGTTCCATCTCTTCATCAGATAAAAAATCAGCTTCTTTTTTATCTTGTTCGTCTGGAGAATAGAGCTGATTTCCCTGTTCACGATCTTGTCCAGCACTGAAGGTGTACACTTCGCTTCAGCCATGTGGGAGTACCTGGGACTCCTCACCTGTCCTGCTGTTGACAGTTCTGTTCATCAGCACATGTGGTTTCCTTTACGGAGAATGTCCAGATGCCCTTTGCCTCCCTGGCCCAGCATTACCTCTATAATGCCGGGGTCCAGCCCCGGGGGTCCAGGGGTTCCCAAAGGTGTGGACGGAGTCGGCAAAGAATGTTTTACACGGAGACAGTGTTCAGAACGCTCTAGCTCTCTTTAGTCTAGGTGGATCTTCCTGTGCCTGGCTGAGGCCACAGAGAAAGATCCTGAGGCAAGCTGAGCCTTTATTTTATAGTGAGAGGTAAACAAGGTAGTGGTTACCAAAGTTACACTGTTCTTGTGAGTTTCACTTGTTTTTGTTCTTGTTGCTGCTGCACTTCCCTCAGCCCATTAGCTTCCCAGATAAGATCTAGGGAGTCATAAGGTCAAGCCTGATTATTCTTAAGAGGACTGTGCCCTCTAAGCTGGGACTTGTTTGTGACTTTGCCAACAGGTCAGTCCGAGGTTTAACCCTATAGTGGCTCCCCACACTAGAAGAGGCAGTTGAAGCAACAATTTATCTTCTCAATATTGTCTCTGGCTTCATGGGTAATTACGACCCCCTCCCCCCCCCCAGCAACTCTCTCATTTTATCAAACTGAAGGGCATTTATTTATTCACGTGTTTGCTCCCTCCACTTCCTCTCCCTGCTGTGAACTTCTTGAAGCAATGATTGACCTTTGGATCCCAGTGTCAGACTCATGTTTAGGGTCTCAGTAAAGATTTGCTGAATTTACTAGTCTCTGAGAAAGGTGTAGCCTCCAACTGTCATGAGTATTTCCATTGAGAATTGTTCATTATTGAATGGGAGGCAATGAACTGAAGCAGGAAGCTTTTGGAGTGTGGGGATCAGTGGCCAGCCAGGCTCAGTCTCTTAGCTATGTGACTGGTTTTCTTGTATACCAGCCACAAATGCAAATCCACAAATTTTCACTACTGAAACCACAAGGTTACATTCATAATCTCCAAGATCTATATAAAATATAAAAATGAAACAGCAATTTAAAATAATAGAACAGTTTTCCATAAGAAAGTTACTACAATAATGGAGATTATCCAATATTATTACTGACACCTTTATCTGCATTTTGTGATGTAAGGACCTGTTTAATACTATCACAGGATCCTGTCCTGGGTTCATTTGTTGTTGTTAATCCTCACTCGAGATATTTTTCCATTGATTTTATTTATTTAAATATGTTTGTATTGATTTTTAGGGGGAGAGGAATAGAGAGAGAGAAACATTGATGAGAGAGGAACATCATCAATCGGATGCCTCCTGCACGCCTTCTTCTGGGGACTTAGCCCACAACCCGGGCATGTGCCCCAGGAATAGAACCAGCGACTTCTTGGTTCCTGGGTTATCACTCAACCACTGAGCCACACTAGCCAGGCTTTCCATTGATTTTAGAGAGAGTGGACGTTATGGGGAGAGACAGAAAGAGAGAAACATCCATGTGAGAGAGACACATCGATTGGTTGCCTCCCGCACTCTTCCTGACCAGGGCCAGGAATCAAGCCAGTAAACGAGGTATATGCCCTTGATCGGAATCAAACCTGAGACCTTTCAGTCCAAGATCCGACGCTTTAACCACTGAGAAAACCGGATAAGTTCCTGTCTTAACTGTGTCAGACCCAGAGGCCACCATAGGGTAGACGCGCAATAATGCCTCATTAAATGACTGCCGAGAGACCTAAAAGGTGACTCAGTCACCTTCCTGGCTGCATGTACCTAGGTCCTAGGTACTAGGATGTTGGGAAAATCCAGCTCATCATGTTCCCAAGGTGTGCTTACATGCTAAGAAGAAACAAATAAACATAATAAGATTGTTCTGTCTTCATGGAGAATCTACACAAATGGGTCAAGACACCTTCTATTAAAGGACTAAATGCACCAATTAAAAGTCAGAGATTGCCCTGCCGGCATGGCTCAGTGGTTGAGCGTACACCTATGAACCAGGAGGTCATAGTTTGATTCCCAGTCAGGGCACATGCCCAGGTTGGAAGCTCAATCCCCAATGTGGGGCATGCAGAAGGCAACCAATCAATGATTCTCTCTCATCATTAATGTTTCTAACTCTCACTCCTCCCTTCCTCTCTTAAATCAATAAAAATTTATTATATATATATATATATATACATATGTATATATATATTCAGAGATTGTCTGATGAGTTAGGGAGAAAAAAGAGAAAGCAAGAATAAATGACCAGCTGTCTATAAGAAACGCACTATAAATATAAAAACACAGGCTGAAAGTAAATAGATAGGAAAAAAGATATATCATGAAAAATAAGAGTAAGAGGGCTAGAGAGGCTACATATATATATATATTTTGTGTGTGTGTCATCCTTGCGCAGGGGCCATGCTAATCTTCTCTGTATCGTTCCAATTTTAGTATATGTGCTGTTGAAGCGAGCACTAGAGAGGCTATATTGATATCAGATAAAGTAGACTTCAAGATAAAGAATGCTATCAACAGAATAAAAAAGCAACCCACAGAATGGGAGAAGATATTTGCAAGTCATATATCTGAGAATATATAAAGAATTCCTACAACTCAACAACAATAAAACAACCAATTTAGAGATATACAAAGGACTTAAATAGACATTTCTCCAAAGAATCCGTATGGATAGCCAATGTGCACATGCATAGATGCTCAACATTACTAATCATTAGGGAAATACAGATCAAAATCACAATGAGATACCATTTTACACCCTGTAGGATATTATAACAACAACAACAACAACAACACAGAAAATAGGAAGTGTTGGTAAGGATGTGGAAAATAGGAACCCTTCTGTATTTCTGGTGGGGATGTAAAATGGTGCTGCTGGTGTGGAAAACAGTGTGGTGGCTCTTCAAAAAGTTAAACATAGAATTACCGTATGATCCAGCAGTTCCACTACCGGGTGTATATCCAACATGACTGAAAGGGAGGAGTCGCCTAGATATTTGCACACCAATGTTCATAGCACCATATCGAAAAGATGAAAACAACCCAAATATCCATCACAGATAAATGAATAAGCAAAGTGTGTAATGCCCATACAATGGAATATTATTCAGCCCTAAAAAGGAAAAAAATTCTGGCACATGCTACAACATGGATGAATCTTGAAGATGTGCTACGTTAAAGAAGCCAAATACAAAAGGACAAATATTGTATGATTTTGTTTATATGAGCTAACCAGAGTAGTTGAATTCAGAGACAGAAAGTAGAATGGTGGTTGCTAGGGGCTGGAGGAGCGGGTAATGGAGAGTTGTTGTTTGATGGGTACAGAATTTCCCTTTGGGATGATGAGAAGAGTTATGGAGATGGATGGTAATGGTGGCTGCACAGCAATGTGAATATACTCAATGCTGCTGAATTATACATTTTAAAATGGTTTAAATGTTAATTTTTGTTATGTATATTTTACAACAATAAAAGTGACCAAGAGTGATGTCTAGACATTTTTACTGAAACCACATTCTGGAATAAGCAGAGTGCAGGGGGCAGGTATAGAGCACCTCTAACATCTTATAGTTCAATGACACACCCTAATGACAGAAAGTCTGCATTGATAACTTTACATACTCCTGCAGGGAGGGCAATGGATGAGGGCAAGATAACAGTAGAAAGCACAGGCTCTGAAATCAGACAGAGGGGTGTTCTTACCAAAATTTCACACCAGCCATGTGGCATTTAACTTTTCTCAGCCTCTGACTTCTTGTGTGTAAGACAAGATCATAATTGTACCAACCTAGAGAGCCATGGGAATAGCATGACAGCTGCCCTCATTCACCGCAGGGCCCAGCGCCTGGAGTACCAGGACCCCAGCTCCACCACTTGCTGGCTGCAGGACTCTCTGAGCCTCATTTCTTCCTCCTTAGAACAGGCATAAATGACACATACCTCCATTGGTTGTTGGGCAACTTGCTATCTATATATATAAAAGCCTAAGATTCAAATTGTCCCTTCGGGAGTTCGACCAGGAGACCAGGAGTTCAATTGCTCACTATGACATGTGCTGACCACCAGGGGGTGGCGCGGAATGAAGGAAGGCCCCAGCAGGCAGCCGGAAGGCCCCAATCAGCCCTGGTCGCTGGCCAGGCCTAGGGGCCCTATTCATGCACGAATTTTGTGCACCAGGTCTCTAATTAATAATAAAATAGCAACAACAACAATGATATAGCGACCACTTCTTGAGAACTTGCTCTGCATTGGGTGCTTTGCATGAATCCTCACAATAGTCCTATGAGGGAGATGCTTTCCCCACTTTACAAGAACTTAGTCAGGACTTAGGGATGATAAGCCCTGCTCAGGAAATGGCAGCTATATCCTTTCTGTGTCCAGGGCAGCATGGCCTGTGTGAGGCCACCGGTGTGCGTGGAATTCACAGCGGAGGCCAGAGCCCGGCCAGAACTCAGAATTCATGCCCACCATGTCTCCCCACAGGTGCTGAGGGCTACCTGAGTGTAGGGCGGGGGTCCAGCTATTGGGAAGCTGGAGTCTTAGGCTCTGGTTCCACTTCTGCACCTGGGTGGGTCACTCTCTCCCTGACCTCAGTTTATCCTACTGTGAAGTGAGAAACAAGGGTCATATCCCTCGAGCACTAAGATCTCTGACCACAAAGAAAGGCTAAGGGGGAATTAAAGAAAACATGGAGCCTTTTTCTAAATTACCAGCTTCTCTCTGCCCCCTGGTGGACACCTAGGGGAAAAGGACAGTCTGCATACAGTGAATCCCAGGACTTGGGAACTTTTTTTTTAATCTATATTTTTATTGATTTCAGAGAGGAAGGGGAAGAGAGCTAGAAACATCAATGATGAGAGAGAATCGTCATTGGCTGCGTCCTGCACGCCCTCCGCCGGGGATCAAGCCTGCAACCCAGGCATAAGTGGATCCGTGACCTCCTGGTTCATAGGTCCATGTTCAACCACTGAGCCATGCTGGCCAGGCAGGACTTGAGGACTAACTTTTTGACTTCTGCCAAGGTTCCCATTCCTCTGAGCCCCAACCCCCATCTTTACATGTGGAAAATAATACCTACCTCTTGGGTTGTTGTGAGGATGCAGGTAACACAGGAGAAGTGCTTGGACAGGGGCAGGTACCGAAGCCAGATCCTACGATTGAGATGGCAGTCAGTCCTGTCATCAGTGAAGAATGTAATGACTGCAAGCTTATAAAACATGCTTGTTATTGGACACCAAAGTTGTTTGCCTAAGCTGTAAATGGCTTCATGATCCCCGTGATAATTAACCCACCTCTGGGTAAATAAACTCACCAGCCTCATTTTATTCATTATTTTCAAAATACCAAGTTTCAAATACTTTTTCTCTTTTTGTTTGTTCTCTTTCCTTGGTTTCTGACTTTCTCTTTATTGTTTCATTCTTTCCTGTTTTTAGGGGTTTGTTTTATTGCTCTTTTTTCACCATCTTAAATAAAATGTTTGCCTTATTTATTTTTAGCACTTTATTGAGGCATAACTTATACAACATAAAATTCCCACCTTAAGTGTACAGTTGAATGATTTTTAGTACAGTTACAGAGTTGTACAACCATCGCCCAATATAATTTTATATTTCCATAACCCCCAAAAGAAAGAGACATCATATCCCTTTGTAGTTTATCCCCACTCCTAGCACTAGGCAACCACTAATGTACTTTCTTTCTTTATACATTTGCCTTTTGTGAAAATTTCACAAAAATGGAATCATGCAGTATATGACATTTTATGTCTGGCTTCTCTCACTTATATAATGTTTCTGAGGTTTATCTATGATGAAGCATTAGCGCTTTCACTCTTTTTTACTGTTGAATAATATTCCATTGTATGGACATACCACATCTTGTTTACTCATTACCAGTTGACTGACATTTGTACTGTTTTCATTTGGGGGCTATTTAAATGTCTGTGTCTATAACTCCATATCTAAATCCTCTGAGGGTATGTTTTTCTTGTCTATTAGTTCTACTGGCTTTCTTCATGTTAACTCCTTATGTGCCTGTTCTGTGTGTGTATGCATGCAGGTGCATGTGCTGGCCACTATAGATGTATTTATAAAATTCCTCATAGAAACAATCTCAGGCTTCGGGTAGTGTTACTTTCCTCCAGAGAGGAAGTCCAGAGAGGACTTACTTTTGCTTCTTCCCAGCACCTGGAGGGACTTGCAATCGGGGGTCACCCTAATGCAACTCCAGGGGCTGTGATGGTGTGGAGCTGAGACGCTTTCTTTGTGAGGACCTGTCTTCTTCCTATTTATTCATACATAAGCCCAGAGTTAAGCCTTTAGGGTCCCCGCTCAAAGTGAGGGGGTTCCACCAAGGAACCTTCTTCATGATCCTTGACTCCAAATCCTGTCCCACTTCCCCTGAAAATTTCTGGAAGAATTGCAGGTCCTTGAATAACATCATTTTGTTCAATGTTGTTTCATTGTAATGTTGATGAGATGCCATAGGAACTTAACCCTTGCTAATGTCAATCAGCCTATGGTAAAAATGGGTTTCATTATGCATTGTTTTACTTAAAGTTCCAGACCTATTGACAATCCTATATAATAAAGATAATAAAGAGGTAATATGCTAATTGACGATCATGCCCTCACAAGATGGCAGCACCCACAGCCACAAGATGGTGGCACCCAGTCCCCTCAGTCTCACGGGCAGTGAATTTTCACGCGACCATTACCTTTTTAAAAAATCCTTACCCAAAGATATGATTATTTCTTTTAGATCATCTGTTCTCGGGGAGCAGGCCTAAGCCAGCAGGTGGGCATCCCCCAAGGGTTTCAAACTATGAGAGGGTGCAGGCTGGGCTGAGGGACTCCCTGTGTGCATGAATTTTCATGCACTGGGCCTCTAGTGTTAAATAAGTACTACTCAGGCTTTCAGGAAACAACAGGCTCAAACACAAGGCTCATCTCTCTGAGCCTCTATACTTCCAAGAGACTTGCCCCAGTTGGTAATTCTTTTTTTTTTCTTTTTTAAAAAATATTTTATTGATTTTTTACAGAGAAGAAGGGAGAGGGATAGAGAGTTAGAAACATCAATGAGAGAGATCAATCAGCTGCCTCCTGCACGCCCCCCAGTGGGGATGTGCCCGCAACCAAGGCACATGCCCTTGACCAGAATCGAACCTGGGACCTTTCAGTCTGAAGGCCGACGCTCTATCCACTGAGTCAAACCGGTTCGGCGGTAATTCTTTATTAACTTGTTAACACATCACTGCCTGTAATTAGTTATCTCTGTTTCTTAAATCTTCACCCAAAGACATGCTTAGAAAGAGGAAGGAAGAGAGAAACATCAATGTGAGAGAGAAATATCGATTGGTTGCCTCCCGTACACGCCCCGACCAGGCATCGAACCCACAACCCTGGTGTGTGCCCTGACTGAGAATCAAACCTCAACCCTTCAGTACACAGGACAATGCC